AAAGGGGGTAGATTGTAATATCTTACATCAAAAGGTGAGGAGTTGGTTGCTGGCCTTATTAATGGTGTTGGTTGTCAACATGTTGTATGTATTTTAAGACCTGTGGGTTGCAAGAAATAAAACCGTGAGGAATGAAAGCTGGGTTGGGATGGGCTAAAGAGGATAGTATATAACATGTTAGGTTGGGCTGTTACACATGCTTATTGGTTTGAATTCCTATAAGCTTTCAGTTTCTCTATGAAATATAAATCTGGAGTTCATAATGTTATTATTGATGCTTTGAGTTGGATACATTTGTTCTTGATTAATATGAAAATGGAAGTGACATATTTTAAAATGTTATAAGACCTTTACAAATACGATGGTGATCTCAATAAAATATGAGCTAAATACAAAATTGATATTTCCAAACATTTTGTCGTGTTGGACGATTATCTTTTAAAAGAAAGCCATTTATGTATTTCTTAAATTTCTTTAAGGGAAGCCATTATCTTTAAAGCTCATGATAATGGACTTAATAGACATTTTTAGAGAGATAAAACACTTATTGTTATCCATGATAATTTCTTTTAGCCACAGATTGAGGGAGATGTTACAAGGTTCATACAGTATTGAGTACATGTCATTTTTTCTAAATCATATAGTTATAATTTAGGTTTATATACTCCATTTCCAGTAGATAAAACTTTTTAGGAAGATGTCAACAAGGATTTTGTGCAAGGTTTGTCTAGAAGTTCAAAAAACAAAGATTTAGTTACGATAATGATTGTTTGTTTCTCTAAAATGTTGCATTTTTTTCCAAGTAACAAAATACTCGATGTTACTGATATTTTTTTGATTTATACTTCAAAGAGATTGTTATACTTTATGGCATTCTAAAAACAATAACTTCATATTAAAATTCCAAGCTAAGGAGTTACTTTTGGGGTACACTTTGAAAGAAACTTAAAACTCATCTTCAATTTAGTAGTAATTGGCATCCATAAAATAATAGATAAACTAAAGTCATCAATCAGAGTTTAGGAAATCTTTTAAGACATTTAGTTAAGAAGAATATTTGAGATTAGAATATTATATTGCCACAAACTGAATTTGCTTAAAACAATTTTACTTGCCAAAGTATTAGTTATAGTCCTTTTCAAGTTGTGTATACTAAAAATCTATTGAGTCCATTAAACTTAATTCCTCTTCCAACAAGTTAGAATTTTAATGGTGATGCTAAAAAAAACCAAACAGCTTAAAATGATGTTTGCACAAGTTTGTGACAAGATTGAAAGCCAAAATCAAAAGTATCAAGCTTAAGCTAATAAGCATCGTAAATATATAGAGTTTAAAGAAGGCAATCTGGTTTATTGTATCCTAGCAAGAAAAGGTTTTCACAGGGAAAATTTATTAAGCTCAAACCTAGAGCTAGAGTTGATGATCGATTTAAGATTTTGAGGCAAATTGGTGAAAATTTTTAAAAGATTGAGTTGCTTGTATATATAGACATTTCATATACTTTTAACATAACTAACTTAGCTCCTTACTATATTGGTGATAGTATATATGACCCTTCAACTAGAGGAACATGACATATGAGTGTCCTTTAATAATCCTATTGATGTTGGGTTATTTGATTTTGGGTTGACAATGTAAATGAATGAAGTCCTTGGTTATGCTTGCTATCAACTCATTGGCCAATTTTAACCTTGCATTTGCTTATCTTTATGAATGGGAAAATAAGCTTATCATATGTGGTTTTCAAGTTTAAAATGTAATATTTTTAGATTGTCAAATCATACATGCATTGGACTTTTCTACAGAAAGTTATGATTGTTTTGATTTTTAAGCTTTCTAAGTGTCTATTTTTGTTTCTAATGAGTGAAAAATGTGTGCTAGTAAATAATTATCTAGTTTTCTTTCAAATTCATTTATTTGGATCTAAATTAAGTTATTTTGTTGTTTACCTAGACTAAGAGGATTATTTTAAATATATAATGATGATTCATACTATGTATTAAGATCTTTTAGCAAAATTTGAATTAAAATCTTTGACTTGACCTTTAATAACTTATCAATTTTTATATCTCTTTTGTGAGTAGTGGATTTTATACCTTAACTTTGTATCTTTAAAGAGGTGAGTGATCTATATGTTTAGAGTGGTGAGTTATTCGCTTCTATATCTTTTTGGTTTTGTATCTAAAAGTAATAAGCAAAAAATATCATTTATTTGAGTGACTTGTTACTTTGTGATATTCATAACATCTTGGTATCAACAAGTGTTTGGAAAATTATGAATAAATGGATTATTAATAATCCAGATAAAAGGATGATGCATGTTAAAGATCAAGTCAAAGACACAAATGTTAGAGACCAAGTCAATAAGAAAACGATAGAAAATAAGTATATTTTATCTTTAAGAGTTACTATAGTATATTTAAATGTAAACTTGAATTTTAAATTTTTATTACTCTCATGTTATATATCTCATGTAATACTCATGTAAAATATAGTGATGATATGAAAGACTTGTTTTACAATTAGAATTCTAAAACTTTACATGGTATAGGAGTCATTCTAAACATTTTATCTTCTGTAATATTTGACTCTTCCAGCTCTAACCTAACCTCATCCTAACTTCTGACCTTTATAATTATGTCTCACATGGTCACAGTCAAGCTCCAGCATGATAATTATCTTGTTTAGAAAGCCTAGATGGTTCTATATTTTAAAGGTTAAGGTATCTTCAGCTAAATTAATCTCTTTCAAAACCATTTTTAATCCTCAAAAGCTCATTCTCTAATAGTAACATCTCTGCCTTATCAAAACTTGTCTATCTTTAATGGATACAATAGGATAATCTCATTATGGCACTTTTATAGCCTTTTTTTATTGAAAGTACACTTTTTTAGGTTATTAGCTATAACATGTCTCAAGATGTGTAACTAAAAATTGAATAAAATCTCTCCTCCCAGTTAAAGGCTTGTATTATTCATATTCAGACTAAGCTAGCTACTTTCATTAAAGGTGTTTCCTCTACAATTGATTATTTTTTTTTTTATCATATTAAGAAGCTCTCCAACGAGCTTGTAATTGTCGGTCAACCCCTCTCTTATGATGTTATAATCTCTTACATCTTAACCAGTTTAGGAATTAATTCAGAGTTACTAGTTTCCACTCTTAATATATGGCCAAATCCTCTTAAACTTGAAGAGGTCCATTCTTTTTTACTTATGAGTGAGTTTTAATTTTACCATCACAATCAAGCCATTCCAATTATAAATGTTATTATCAATGTTGTGATAATAAATTCTTTATAAACTTATGGACGAGGCCGTAATAGAGGATATCGAGGTCTAGGATAATTGTGGTGATAATTATACTTATTATGTTGGACCCTAGAGGGATAGCCTCAGTGAATCTAAAAAGGGTTGAATTAGGTATGTAAAGAAAACTAAAATTTAAAAACTTTTTGCATGATAACATGCAATTCTAAATGCTCAATCTAATATGAAAGAAATAAACAATATAAATACGCTAATTAAAGAGTTAGAGTTTAAAGAGAGTGCACCAAGTTTTATAGAGGTTCGATAAACCATCTACTTCTCTCCTTGAACTTCTGTTTAAGAGTTTCACTATCAAACACTAGGTTTTTTAGAGGGTGAGACCAAATCATTTATGAACTTTTTACGGGTGTAAGATCAAACTCAATTTTTTTACGAGCTTAGGATCAAATCATTATCTCTAATCTTTTTGTAAGCTAAAACTATAAAACCTTTCGTCAATATTTGTTGAAAGACAAATATTAAATCACTCAAAATTTAGATTTTAAGAGATTTTAAAAAAATTTTAAAGCGTCATTTACATTTTCCACAATATACTCTCTTAATAAAGTTTATTGGAACAACAATTAAAATCTTTTAGAGAATTTTTGACAATTCACACTTAACCTTGTTCTTGGATAATTACAAATGAAACAAAGATGTTATAATTTATTTTTTAGAGTATGCTTATATATATATATATATTTTAGAAGTTTAACACCTATGTTGGCCAATAAAAAGGCTATTTATAGGTATAGAATTGAAATTAACCATTAAATATAATTTTCTGCTTGTTAGAAAATCAATGAGGCTGTTTTTTATAATCAATTAAACCTTTTTAGAGAATTGGTAAGACTATCTTTAATAATCCCATAAAGTTTTGGAAATTTTCTAAAAACAAATTAACTATTTTGATAAACAGCTAGAAGCTAGATCATTTTAAGAAACAGTTGAAAAGTTTTGGTTATTGTTAGATTTTGTCCTTTTTTTGTTTTATTTAGTTTTTTTAGGTTATATAGATATTACAAGATGTCCTACATGCTCATATTATTTATTTTTAGACCAAAACTTAAATCTCTAGCTACATCAATAAACAGGTGTCAGAAGTGGTATAAAGGCCAAGTATAAATCACCAGCAAATGTTGCGGTAGAGATTTAATAGTTGAACACTCTATTGATTGAAATACGCATTACTAAATCTTCAACACCAATATTATGTCGTGACAACATAAATGCAACCCATTTATCTTCTAATTCAATGTTTCATGCACGCACGATGTGCTACACAGTTTAATCTTCTAAAGGCCAATCTTAAGGCATGCCATCTTCCCTTATGATTGCGGGGGCATTTTAAAAATCAAGTCAATGAAGATACAATAAAAGAAGAGCAAATTTGATCTTAGAGAGTTATACTAGTTGTAGTGTATTTCAATGTAAACTTAAATTTTCAATTCTTGTTATGCTTGTGCTATACTCGCGAAAAGTATAGTGATAATATGAGAGACTTCTTTTACAAATAGAATTCTAGAACTTTGCAATGCATGACCATATTTGTCGCTGTAAAAATTGTGGTAAATGTCATGATTCAGATGGCCTGAATGCTGGATAGATATCCAGTTAATGCTGTCAGATATTCTCATATGGATCGAAGATAGCGTCTTGTCAAATAACAGCCATCCACAAGCAGCACAGAACTTTAAAGGAAAGGAATTATAAAATGCATCTCTCAGTTCTAGATTAGGGCACGAGTATCTCTAACAGCAATTGAAAATCCCGAACCTCATTCTGCTATAAAAGTAAAGATTTCAGGCTATTTTATCAGACTCCTGCGAGAAGGGATCCCATGCCCCAACAGTGGAAATAATCAAAATTTACGGCAAGAAAGTGTTTGGTTGTATACAAAGATTACAGATTAAGTGAAGTCCGTCAGCACTTGAGCTCTATATTGAGATGCACAAATTACAAGAATAAGATGTGAAGTTGTATCATCACCTGCACAAAAGAAAAGGTCGTGATTCTACGAAGGGATGGAAAATATGTCTTCGTACACTCCAGACAGTTTCAACCAGGATGCTTTCACAATAAAACCAACACGATATAAGGGGAAGACAGAATGGGTCAATAATTAAGCAGCGAACTCTATCATCCTAGATCAGCAAAGGTCCTTTGTTTTGTTAGTCACAGGTTATTCCACGAGACATCATACCGACCCAGCTTCACAAGAACAATTTGTGTGCTGATTAAACGCCCCCCTGCCCCCTGCTCCCGCCTAAAAATAAAAGGAATTGCATGGAAGCTTCACTATGCAGATCAACAAAATGTTTTCAGCATTTGACTAATAGCTTGTCAAGAAATGCCATTGCCACGGGAGAATATTGTTACCAACCAAAGCAAGACTACTGTAACCAATACAAGTAATTAAAGAATATCTCCACAAATGACATTTTTAATTGACTCTTTTGGGCTCAGAGAATTACCTGCAGGATGTTATTTCAGACCTTGTACTCATTCACACGCATCCATTTGGTTGATGACCACTTATTACCTCGAATCACAGGACAACCACCTGCATTGAAGAATAATCCAACTCATCAATTAATTAAAGATTGCATTACTAAAACATGCAAAATGATAGTTAATAACCATGCAAAGGTACTGTCAGCATGGTTGTTGTCAAACCTGAACTACACAGGTTAATGGTGATTAGCTGGTTGGGAGTAACTTACCATGCAAACTTGATGGGTCTGGAGAGCCATCAGGATTCATACTCCAGAAAAGCAATGCATCACCCATCTTTGGTTTAACAGAGAGGCCCCCCTTTCCACACTCAGACAACTCGTTCCACCAAGGCACTGCACTAATGTTACCCTCGGCAGAGGGAAACACAGTCTCACCCCCTTCTTCAACATCTGAGCTGTGTACAATAGTGAAGGAGTTAATATTACAAAAGGAACAAAGGCAGGATGCATTTGGATTCATAAGAAATTCCACTAGCAGACAGGATCTCACTTACAGGTACATGAGAACAGTAGCTATGCGTTGACCCCCATTCTTGGTGTTGTATTCATCCATAAAGTAGTCAAAGTGAGGCTCATACCTTTGCCCAACTTCATAGTGGAGAATTTGAAGCCCTTCACCATGCTCTGCACATCATGTCAGCTTAGTAACAGGTGATGAATCAAACTGAAAGGCAAATTTCTAGAAGATGTTTCCCTTGAAAACCTAACAGATCTCTGCTTTCTAAACTTGAATAATCTCCTTTTTCCTTAAAGATGCATTACGGTGAAGTTACAATATGATGGATCCAAGAATTCAGATCAAAACTAGTTAGCTTTGGTTGGAGTCAATTTTTCGCTATACAGCGACTTTACTTGAATTTGTGATTATGAAGGTGGTGGTGTTACAAAACTAGTCCCAAATAATTAATAACTACTATCTGTGGCACCAAAAAAAGAGAGAGAAAAAAGTGGAGACGCTCAGTGGGAACTGGTGGTGCCTCAGTTGATTGCACCTGAGGTAGTCGAGTGGATTTATAGTGGCAAGATGTATAAAAGAATTGAGATAGGTTAGACCATAAAAGGACCAGCAACAGTCTATAAGCTGATCATGGTTCGCTTTTGCAAACACATGAATGAGTGAAGGTGATGAAGTGGTGCAATAAGTGATTACAGGGGTGCATTAGGATATGAAGTCCCAATTTAGGGAAACATGTGCTTGAGGTAGCAACCTGGCCTTCAAAGTAAATTAAAATTCCGTTCATCTATTTGATATTTAAAAAAAAATAACAAAAAGCAGAACAAAATCTCGCCGGTGCTGGAAAGTGATTCTTTTTTTCATCCATTCAGTGTATCCTCCAAGTAAATGAAGCTCAAACAACATACCTACGGGAATGAAGCTAAAATCAGCAATCCTTTTCTCAATATCTCTAATAATTTTGTCACGACCTCTCGGTAGAAATGTTCCAGAACTCGTACGCACTCTACATATCAAAATGCATTATTAGCTCCAATGATTATCCGCAAAGTATACAAGCATGTTAATGAGAAGAAGAGCAGCATGAACATCCATCCACAAAATTCAAGAACAAAGAGTATAAGATCTAAGAAAGAAAAACCCACTTGCTATCCTTACTCTTCCCCGTTGAACTATCAACGACTGTCGACTTTTGCATATGCGGCTTTGCAAGATTGATTAGGTACTCACATTCTGCCTTAGTCTGTCCAAAACAAGCAACAAACTAATTGGTTAAAGATTTTAATCAAAGTAAAGTTCCTTGCTCGAAAAAATGCTACTAATTAATTCAGTTTTAAATCCAATCTAAAAAAATTATGAAAAAAAACCGACCAAAAAATTATGATAAACAAAAGCACGAGGCTTCCATGAGATAACCTCTGCCCATTGCTCTGCTTTGCCTTCATCATCTCCACTCCTACAAAAACACCAAACCAATGAAGTCAATTACGATCAAGCCATCCAATCTCAAGCCAAACACTAATAAAAAACGACACGAAATCAATCTCACCCGTCAATTCTGCTATGATGAGCGATGGAGCTGAGATCGTTAGCTTGACGCGACGAATCGGAAGAAGTGCTCGGAATCGAGAGAATTCCGAGACCGAGAAGAATTAAAATCACGAATGTGAACATTAATAGCAGAGTTAGTATAAGTGTCGATGACGGTGATTTTCGTGCTGGAATTCGTGAATATCTCGCTTTCGCCATTGTCGTGAAAGTCGGAATCGGAGATCGGTGAGGGAAAAGGGCAGCGGTTTGATTTAATTTAACAGAGGGAGAGATTTTTCTCTGTTTTTAATTTTAAGAGAGAAGAGAGAGGACTTTCCATTATAAATATATTTAATACTAACCCCGTGTTGATTAATAAATAGAAAATCCATAATATACGTACCAAATTATAAATAAATTTTTATTTTATTTCCAAAACAAATGTTGATTAATATACTAAGGTTGTAAATATGTTTTATATAATGTGGTTAAATAATATTATTATTTCTTAATTGAGTTTATTTTTTCGATTCATTGAAAATCAAACTACTTATATTGGACGTTAAGAGATTTATGAGAATTTTCATTTAAATCCCATTTCTAGTGTGCATAGAAGGAAAATATTAAAAAAATAAAAAAGAATTATTGTTAGCAATGGGGTTAAATATTATTGT